GCTTCTCTGATCTCCCAACATTCACTCCAATACCTGGCTCTGGGTTTGTTTATTAATAAGACCTTCTAAGATTCGTGCTACACCTCTCCTCTATGATATAGGACATTTCTCTCTGACAAGTCTCTCAGTTCACTTGGGGACACCACAGATTGAAATTCTTGTGACCAGGACATTTACTCCTCTGCTCACTCATGGCTCCTCAACTCCTTCCTGGAACTTCCTCACCTCCCTCTAGGAGATGCCTGCATGCTCCTGGGTCTGCAACCCTTTCCTTGCCCCCTTTCTCTCAGAGCTACCTGTTCTATCTCTCCTGGTGTCCTCCTGGGCCCATGTGTTTCCAGTATCCCTAAGTCCCACAGCTTCTCTATGCCCCTGTGGCTTCTGCAATATTAGAACCCTCTTTTGGGTTGAGTTCCTACTTGTTCCACCTTGTCCCTTATGGCTACACTGTTCTCTGCCTCTTGCTGTGGGATGTCTTTTTGTATGCTGTGAATATGTGTTGCTCTCATTGGTTGATAAAGCTGTTTGGCCTATGGCGAGGCAGCTTAGAGGCAGGCAGGAAATCCAGGAGAGAGACAGGAAGAAGAAAGGCAGAGGTGGAGGGGACACCATCCTGCCATCCAGGGAGCAGTATGTAATGGCACACAGGTAAAGCCATGGAATACATGGCAACATATAGATTAATAGAAATGGGCTGAGTTTAGTAATAAGAGCTAGCTAGCAAGAAGCTTGAGCCATAAGCCATGGCCATGCAATTGGTAATTGATATAAGCCTCTGTGTGTTTATTTGGGTCTGAGTGGCTGTAGGACACAGGAAAACTTCCAGCTATATTTTGTGCTCACTGTTGGGCATTGATCCACAAGAACTAAAAAAGCTTAAAGATTCTGAATGCACAGAAATGGAGCCACATTAGGCTTCCTTGTCTCAAACTCTCATGCCAGTAGCAGCATAGAGACTCGTCTCCCAACAGCTGCCTGTGAGATGAAGCTGGCCACCAGCCACCATAAGCTAAGTAGCATAGCAGATTCCTGCTGTAGTACACAGTGGTGTCTCCAAGCCACGCAGCACACTGTGTGGTGGTTTTAGCTCTTGCTAGTACAGAAAAAAAAGAAGAGGTTTCTAGGATACACGCTGCTGGATGGAGGCATGGACCCAGTGCCTCCTAGAGTCAGCAGACAGCATGGCTCCCAGAGCTGGTGGTGAATTACCTCCGACATGTTGAAAAGCTGAAATGGGCGGAGTCAGCAACCAAGGCTGCCTCTTCAGTCCTAAACACACAGTTTATCAGTTTAAAATCTCTCCTGGTTAGACAAGGATTACAGATTCACAATAAGGCAGATACAGATGGAATAAACCTCTAAATGGTTTATATTATGTATAAAAATGCATGTAGGCTTGCAAGAGAGAGGAAAAGGAGGATAAACAATGATATAAAGAAACAGTTTTAAAAAAATTAAGTCTTTAAAGAGACAATGTGAATAATATAAAAGTTTAGTCACATAAGGATGGAAATTACACAGAGTCTGGATTATATTGTCTTTAAGATTTTTAACTGCAGAAAGACATTTGATTGTAAAGGCTGCTAATTTAAGCATATATATATATATATATATTTAAAGGTATCTTGACTTCAAAGTTTATATCTAAGGATACATTTCATTGGAAAAGAGATTCTGCTTTTGTTTCCACAGAAGATGAAAACCTATGGATTGCTTCCAGGCTAATATGGTTTAATCAGCCAAGACCCCCTGAAAGGTTTCCGATGACACCATGGCCCAGATGATCCAACAAACTGCTTCAAGGCAACTGGCTAAGACAATGCAGTCTCACAGACTACTCCAGTCAGGACATGACCATAATTCTTAATTTTCTCAGGATTCCCATAAGATTGATAGCATCCTCAACCAGCAGAAAGTAGTATGAGAAGCTATGCCCAAATTCTCAAAATATTGTTTATAAATGTTTATTTTTATTTAATAGGGGCTAATTATAAATACAATCTCTTTCTAAAAAGGAAAAGGGTATAGTATAGATATGATAGGATGAAATGGTAGATTATTGAATCTACATTTAAAGAGCAACAACTTGTTTGAAATGTTTTACATTGCTATGGATTTTAGCTTATTGATACAAATTAAAAGTTAATTTTGTTATTCTGTATGTATATTTCTACTCTTGTTTAAGGTATTATGTTTGTGCTGCTCATTTGAAATTGTATGTATAATTAAGAAATACAGATTAATAATTAGTCTCCTATGATAGTCAAACTTATAGTCATGTTAGTTAAGTTTTTTAGGTATACATACATATATATATATTATATATATATATATTATATATATATATATATATTTCAATTAGGTAGGTAATCTTCAAACAGTTCAAAGACCTACAGAATACAGCATTTAAAATGTTTTTCAAACTTAAGACTTTCTAGACAGTGAGACATATCTGCTCCTGGCAGCACTGATTTACTTCAAAGAGAAAGATGGACATCAAAGACACTCTATATGCAGTTTATCTTCTTCTTGGCAAAATAGCCATTTAAGCAAGAAACTGCTTTTGCCTGGACTGACGATAATATTTTCTATAAACTGGGAGTTGATTGTCCTGCTTTACACAGACAAGGTAGGTTTGTTCCCCCAAGTTCCTACTCCACAAGAAAGTCTGTCAGATCTTCTGGACCTGGCAGCCTAAGACTGATGCTGCCCTGAGACCTCTGCCCCAATGACCATGGAGGAACCTGGGGTAGCTCTCCAAGCAACCAGTAAGTCTCTGTCGTTTTTAATAGATTTGGAAGCTGCTTGGTCTGTACTTCCTGTTTACTCAGGTGAAAGTCATCCTTCTCAGATCTCTGATGGTGTTGATGACTAGACTACTGATAGCTTTTTCAATTTAACCGCAGCAACTAAGGCCTCAGTTCTCTTCATGTGTAAAAAATCAGGCTACAGGCCTCACTCTCCTAGAGCTCCTTCTAGGTCTAGACATAGTTTACCTTGTTATTAGACTCAGAAAAGAGATACACTGACAAAATAGATTTTGATTTACCTTTGTACTATTTCTTTATTTAAAGGAACTGGTTTTACAATGACAGTAATCAATCACCTGTGTCTCCTGGTGAATTATTGAATAGAAAAAAGATGTAAAATTTATATAAGGTCTGAGGATATGAAAGCTTAAGTTGTGATGGTCTAAGAAATGTATCTAAAAATGCATCAAAGTTGAAAAATACTAAACATCACTAGTGCTTACAGAAGTGTAAATAATGGTTATAAGATATCACTTCACAGCCATTATGATTGTTATGATAAAACAAAATGAAAAGTATATGAGGGACAATGACAATCTGAAGTTTTCATATGAATATAAGAATGTTAGAATACTGTGTCATTGCTGCTGGGAATGGTGCTATTATGAACGTGGAAAGTACTAAGGCAGTTCTTCAAACATTGAAACTTAAAATTTACCATGTGATCCAAAACTTCTACATCCAAGAATAAGCTCCTTGAACCTGAAATCACAGGTTTATACAGATATATCTTTACACCAATGTTCCTAGAAACAGTTTTCACAATAGCTAAAGATAGAACCGTAATATCCATGGAGGGAATCAGTGAAAAAAAACAAACTGGTTTCATGCACCATTTCCTTTGCACCATGCATTCAAGAGAAAACAAAATAGAAATAGCTAATAATTTTTTTTTTTTTTTGGTTTTTCGAGACAGGGTTTCTCTGCGTAGCTTTGTGCCTTTCCTGGAGCTCACTTGGTAGCCCAGGCTGGCCTCGAACTCACAGAGATCCGCCTGGCTCTGCCTCCCGAGTGCTGGGATTAAAGGCGTGCGCCACCACCGCCCGGCTATAATAATTTTTAATGTTTTAATATTTTCAGAAGATAGTTTTGATCAGATATATTGTTCATTTTATCTGTTTCTCACAGTCTTAGAGTGAAAATCAACCCATGTTATGTTTTTGAAATTCCTCTAATGATTCCCTAGCACAGTGAAAATAAAATAAAATTAAAATGTTTTCACCTTCTATAAGCCTTCCTTTCCATTTTGTATCAGCTATAATTCTCATATCCAACATTCTCAAGAGGGCATCTTGAAACTTGTTTACATTGACCTATCAAAAAACTTCAGGGCAATTTTCCCAGCCAAAACACAGAACTACCAATTTTTCTCATAAACAAATTTGCAGCAGACACTTTCATTCCGTTGGTCAAGTCTTAAGAACATCTCATCCCAATCACCCTCTTCCATGCCTTTTCAGACTTGATCTTACTATCTGACCTCCATTTCTGCATTTCCCCCGTGTGTGATTATTTATCACTTCCTGACTCTTAATATTAATGCTCTATGAGCTCAGGGATCTCCCTTTCTTATTTCCTGTTGTGTTTATTGCATATAATAATATCTTGCACATAGTTGGAACTTGATTATTGTTGATTTAATTACTATTGTAAATGTATGTGCACTGTGTGAAATTCAAATAGGTGTTAGATGGGTAATGTTAGAATATAGATAAGAATGTTGTGCTGCTCAGGCCATACCCACTTGCAGAACCTCCTTTCTTACAGCCACAGTTGCTGTAAAGAATGGACAACCCCTAACAACAGACTCCCCAAGTATCCAGATTTCAGAAAAATAGCAGGCACCATTCTTATTTTTCAAAGAAAGTGCACACATCTCAGGTCAACAGACTCAGAGGATATCAGAGGGCTACTAGTATAAAGGGCACACATCAACCAGATGTGTTTCTCCTCCACATCCTCCAAATGGAACGCTTCTTTTCCCGGATTTCCCTTCCTACCCAGGAATCAGAGAGAGGCTGGCAGCTGTGAAACATGGCCTCTGAGAAGGGACACGGCTCTCTGTTTGTATTCTCATAACATTAATAACTCTTTGAATAAACTTCTTACCCATAAGGACAAACTTCAGTGTCCCTCTTGAAACCTAAACTGGAGACCGTATAGGTGAAATGTACTCCCACGATACTGTTATGCCTAGATCACAGGGACCCCCGAAAGACCACCAGGGAGACTGAATCCCACATGTAAAAGCAAAGAGCCTTTTATTTCAAGCTCCTGTCCAACACAGGGGTAAGAGCAGAGAGCCCTGAGCTCAGGTGGGGCAGATTTTTTATCATAGCAGAGGTTGGGGTGAGGGGATTTCCAGGATCCAGGACCCGGATTGGCTGACAATTGTCTAGGGGTATCTGTAAAACAAAAAAATAGGTGTGTGCTAGACTCAAGGACATCTGGCCACCTTTGGAATGTTTGGGATGTCAGGTACTTCCCCATCCCTGGATGGATCTCTGGGTGGGATCAGCTTAAGGCTTTTCCTGGATCTGGGTGTTGCCTGCCAGTAAGCCTGTCACAGAAGCTGTGCCTAGGCCCCTAAGCCTGTCATGGCTGCTGTGTAGTCAAGCTATTTGGGGGCCCCTTCACATATACAAGTGTAAGAACTGTTGTTTTTGTTTTCCCTATTAGAGGTGGCTAGCAGCAGGGCATGTTGGCACTCATCTTTAATCCCAACACTCACAAGGCAGAGGCTACCATGTGAGGCTACCCTGGTTTACATGACAAGTTCCAGGCCAGCCAGAGCTACATAGTAAGATACTGTTTAAAAAACAAAGCCAGGTGATGGTGGCGCATGCCTTTAATCCCAGCACTCGGGAGGCAGAAGCAGGCAGATCTCTGTGAGTTCGAGGCCAGCCTGGTCTACAGAGTGAGTTCCAGGAAAGGCGCAAAGCTACACAAAGAAACCCTGTCTCGAAAATACCCAAAAAAAAAAAAAAAGCCGGGCAGTGGTGGCGCACGCCTTTAATCCTAGCACTCCAGAGGCAGAGGCAGGCCGATCTCTGTGAGTTTGAGACCAGCCGGGTCTATAGAGTAAATTCCAGGACGGCCAGGACTGTTTTACAGAGAAACCCTGTCTCAAAAAATAAGACAATACAAAAACAAAACAATGCAAAAACAAAACAAACAAAGACCAATATTCTACAGTCTCCCTTACTTTGTAAAACATTTCTGCTAATGCATTTAAAAAGTTTAATCCCTCCACTTGGTAATACTTTTGTTTACACACAGGCCCTGCTACATTCCCAGAACTTAGGGCAGCATTCCAAATTAACCTATTGGAAGTAGAATGTTGGTTTGAACCTCAGCCAATAAGGAACAGCCAAGTTCCCCTTTGAATTAGTGATAAAAGACAGTGTCTATTTCGGCTGTGTGTATTTGCTAGCCTGGTTTGGGTCATGGCACACACCTTTTAGGGGAAAGAAACTGTCTGGCTGGGTTACTTTTGCTTTATTCATATGCTCCTTAGTGCACCCCTGAGATTACTCTTTTCCAACACAAGTGGGAAACTTTTTCAAAGAGGCTGAGTGGGGCCAAGCATAGTGAGACCTGCTTGGAATTCCAGTATTCATGAGGCTAAGGTAGAAGAACAGACAATTCAGGGGTAGCCTGAGCAGGATCACTGGATAGATTGCCAGCACCCACATGGCAGTTCAAAACCATTTGTAACTCTGGTTCTAGGGGATCTGATGCCCTCTTTTGGCTTCCATGAGCACCAGTCACATACATGGTACACAGACATGTATGCAGACAAACCACTCATACGCATGAAGAAAAATTTGAGAAACTTTTATAAAATCAGAATGCATGAAAAGAAAACTCCCAGCATTACGTTGTAAAATAGAAGCACATTAAGCATTTGAAAAAGAGATGACATATCAGAGGAACATTACAGGAATCCCTTTTTTTAAATAGTACAGCTGTTCCTTCTGATGCTGCATTCTAAATGGAATACAAAATTAACAGAATTTCCCAGGAATAGCAGTTACTGGGAAAGATGGGACGCTTGCTTTCCCTCTGAGGTCTATCATGGTGAAGAACCACAGAGACTTACAAATATATTTTCCTAGAAATATCTCCCTTGTTAACTACTAAATTATATTTGGCAAGTGTAATCCAGGAAACAACCCTGGGTTTTCTAAGAAGATAGGAATTTTGATACTTTATCATGGACAAGATTTGAACTCTAGTTACAGACTGGAGCTGCTCCAGCTGGGGCTGTATCGTTCCTACCAGAATGAAATGCTATCACTCAAGCCTACATCCCCTCAATTGTCCTAGGAAGGGATACATAAGGACCCAAATAGACTTGCCATACTCCAACAGAATCCTTGACATTGTTTTCTGTAGAAACAAGTAACAATAGATAGTAATTCACACAGGACCCCTCTCCAAAGGAAGAACTATTGTCCCTATTTTCATCACTTCCTGTTTTGTCCTTTCACGGAAAACAAAATCAGTCTTCTGTCTGATGAAAACACACTGTAAAGTTGTAAAGTATTCATGATACCCTGTTTATTTTGCAGAAGCTGATAGCACGTACAGTTGTGACCTTCAATGAACTTTGCAAGAACAAATATAGCTCTGAGTTCTTTTGTTATTATAGTGCTAGGAATGGAACATAGGGCCTTGTGCATGCTAAAAAAGAACTCCTTTGCTGATTTATACCTTAGTTTGTAGTAGTTTTCTTTTAATCAATAAAACTGTATGGATTTATCATACAGAAAATGTTTAAGAATATTTATACATCCTGAAATGCTTAAACATCATGATATATCAAATGCAATACCTAACAGTTGTCATTTTTATGGTTATGAGAATTCAGCATCTACTCTCTTTAATTTTTCAGGAAATATATATACATATATCACTGTATAGCTTTTAATCTTTTTTTAGAAACAAAGCATACATGAAAATCTGGGAAAATCATGAGGAATCAAATAACAGATGATTCTTATCTTCAAATGGTACAGAAAGAAAATGCTCAACATAGGTTTGTTATCTCAATAACAATTTCATTTACAGCAAGTTTCAGGCATCACAAATTGGCACACTATAGTATAAGAGAAAAAATAGAATCAATGTATTCATTGGGTGTAATTGTTTTTTTTTTCAATTTTAACTTCATCACTTTATCAACTTTATGTGTAACATATAATTCTTTTATGTTTCTAAGCTGTGGGTTGGGAGAAGGCTAACAGTTTTCCTTTTCTGGGATTGGGTGAATGACTGATCTCTCTCTCTCTCTCTTTCTCTCTTTCTCTCTTTCTTTCTTAAAAATAATTTTTAGAGAATTTCAGACAATTGTATTTTGATCACATTCATCCCAGCTCTACCCCTCACCTTTATCACACCCTCTCTTTAAAAACAATAACCCATCTAGTCCAGTTGTGCTGTCCATATTGGACCATCCATTGGAGAATGGAGCATGGGGAACCTACTAGGGGTCACACCCTTAAAGAGAACTAGAAGCCATTAACTGTTAATATCTCCTCAGTTAGGTGTGGTGCCTATGAGGCCCTCCCTACTCATGATATAATGTTGATTGATTTGATCTTGTGCAGGTCTTTGGTAGGTTAACCACAGCTTCAGTGAATTTATGAGTACAATTATTCTGTCATGTCCACAAGAGACTGTTTCATTTAGGTCCTCTTGATCTCTGGCAATTAAAATATTTTCTCCCCCTTTTCTTCAATGGTTCCCATTCTACACACAACAGAACCCAACGACTCCACCCAGGAAACTCCTAGAGCTGATAAATACTTTCAACAACATAGCAGATCATAAAATTGACATATCAAAATCAGTAGCCTTCTACTATACCAAAAAATATACTGAGAAAGAAATTCCAGAAGCAATTCTATTCACAATAGCCTCTATTCACATTAAGCATTTGAAAAAGAGATGGCATATCAGAGGAACATTACAGAAATCCCTTTTTTTTTTTTTTTTTTTTT